AAATGGCTCAGGGGTTAAGAGTGCCTACTGATCTTGGAGAAGGCTGAGTTCTGTTCCTAGCATCCATGTCAGGCAGCCCACAACAGCTTGTAACTCCAGCTCCAAGGGATACAACATTCTCTTCTGGCTTCCCAGGCACCAGAACTCATGTGTACCTCCCCGCCCAATTAAAAATACACCTTGCTGGGAATGGTGGTGCCTGCCTTTAATCCCAGCACTCCAGAGGCAGAGACGGGTGGATCTCTTGTGGCCAGCCTAGTCCAGGCTAACTGGGGCTACAGGGAGACCCTGGCTCAAAACAAAACAAAATTTTCTTTTAAAGATCAAGTCTTGGGGCTGGATCAGTGGTTAAGAGCACTGACTCTTCTTGCAGAGGACCCAGGTTCAATCCCCAGCACCACATGGTGGCTAACAACCGTCTGTAGCTCCAGTTCCAGGGGATCCAACCCCCTCTTTTGACCTCTGAGGGGACTGCTTTCAGGTAGATTCTATTTTTGTTACAGTAAATTTATTTAATAAAAATACACTGACAGGTCAAATAAGTTCTTTATGGGAAAAAAAATCAAATGATGAAAAAGGACATGGAGTGAAGGGGTCTGCTGGGGCAGAGGGGGAAGGCCCTGGGAACTGATAGGAACAGACCTGAACGACGCTAAAGTGTGAGTTAATAATGTTCCAGCAGAGGAAATATCAAATTTGGGAAGATTTGAGAAGGAAATGCCTCGGAGTTTCAAAGTCACCCAAAAGCTAGCTAGAACACAATCTGAGACCTGACTGTTAACTTCCTCAAACCTATGCTAGGTGTGCACAGGGTGTGGGAGCAGGGAGGTTAAGGAAAGCAGCCTGGGCCCCACAGAGGCAGTCGAAGACCAAGGCCAGCCAGGTCTATGTCTCGAGGTCCAGGCCAGCTAGGGCTGCAGGGAGATCTTTTCTCAAAATGACAGAAAGAAAGAAAAAGAAAAGAAAAGCAGTCTGACAGAGATTAGGAGGCTGGTTACAGAGCCAGACTGCTTATACTGAATTCATCCTGCCCTGCTCACCAGCTATGCAATATGGGCACATTACCTCATTACTGTGAGCCCTAGTTTCTCGTTAGCTGTAAATGGCCATATTGAAAATACTGGTTATGGGGCTGGAGAGATGGCTCAGCTGTTAGGAGCACTGACTGCTCTTGCCAGAGGACCCCGGTTCAAATCACAGCACCCACATGGCAGTTAATAACCACCCTTAACTCCAGTTCCAGGGGAGCTGACGCCCTTTTCTGGCTTCCATGGGCACTGCACAACACTAGTACCCTTACATACATGCAAGCAAAACAATCACAAACAAACAAACAAAAAGCACTGGCTATGAAGATTAACTGAGATAACAAAAGCACTTATAAACATGACCATTATTTTTAAAATTTTTGAAGCAGGGTCTCTCTGTAAGCCCCAGCTGTCCTGGAACTCACAATGTAGACCAGGCTGGCCTTGAACTCAGAGATCTGCCTGCCTCTGCCTCCCAACTGCTGGGAATATGGGCGCACGCCACCACACCTGTCTTATTTTTTTAATATTTTATTTATTATTATTTTTGGGGGGGTGTCTTTTTGAGACAGGGTCTCCCTGTAGCCCCAGCTGTCCTGGAACATGTAGATCAGGCTGGCCTTGAACTCAGAGATCCGCCTGCCTCTGCCTCTGAAGTGCTGGGATTAAAGGTGTGCACCACCACGCCCGGCCTTTATTATTTTTATGTGTATGAGTGTATTTCCTGCATGTAGGTGAGTGCACCCGTGTCATGCAATGCTGAGGAGATCAGAAGAGGGCTTCAGAGTCCCCTGGAACTGGAGCTGAGGATGGTTCATAGCCACCATGTGGGCACACCGCTGAGCCATCTCTCCAGTCCCATTATTTTCTATGTATATATGTGTATACACATGTATGTATGTATAGAAAAGACCAGACCAGAGGACAAGCTCATGTGTTACCCTTAGGATTGCCATATACCTTTCTTTGGGACTGGGTCTCTTTGGCCTGGAGCTCACCAACTAGGCTAAACTAGCTGGCCAGTAAGCCCCAGGAATCCTCCTGTCTCTACTGCCCGAGTGCTAGGACTATAAACATGCAACATTACACCCAGCATTGTTTTTTTGTTGTTGTTGTTTTTGTTTGTTTTTTTGAGACTGGGTTTCCCTGCAGCCCCAGCTGGCCTTGAACTCACAGAGGTCCACCTGCCTCTGCCTCCCAAGTGCTGGGATTAAAGGCATGGATGGACCACCATGCCTGGCGACACCCAGCATTTTTATGTGAGTTCCAAGGATTGAACTCAGGTCCTCAAGCTTGTAAGGCAAGTAAGTGCTTTACTGACTGAGCCATCTCCCCAGGCCACAAATGATAATCATCACTACCTTCTACCTTAAAGTCATGTAAAACTGTTATCAAAGCAAGGGGCAAATTAGCTTATTTGAGCCTGAAGATGTAGGAAAAGGCGTTTCCAGATTATCATCTGGTAAGATGGCAGCCATATTATTGAGGAAATAATTTTTTTTTTAAGATAAAACTTGCCTTCTCCAAAGTTACTTGGCTGGGGGCTATAGCTCAGTTGGAAGAAGGCCTGTCTAGCTGGGTTTGGTCTCCAGCACTGCATAAAACTCTGGTGTATACCTATAATTTCAACAGCAGAAGTAGAGACAGGAAGATCAGAAGTTCAGAGTCATCCTTGGCTACATAACAAGTTTGAGGCCAACCTGGGCTACAAGACCCTTTTCAAACAAGTATGTTATTTTACTGCATAAATTGTTTGTGGAGTATTACTTAACAGAATTAAGCTCCCTCCCACGCCCATTCAGTTACTTATAAAACACTTGTAAGAACTATGCACTGCTGGAGACATTTTTTACCTACCAGTCTTTTAATTAAATGGTATTCCTTTGTGAATAAAGTTAATGCCAAGTTAACTTACAGACCACAAGCTCCACATGACTCAGTGTTTTGTCACCAGCCAAGAAGACCCTGTACTGCTGGTGTAGGGGCCAGGACTGGCTTTTTGTTCAGATTGCTGGTTGTGTGGCTTCTCTGCCTTATCACAAGTCATGATGTGCCACACACCGAACTGTACATAATGACTTGAACTGTGAGCTCATGTCAGTTCTGAGTTAACAGATTCCAGTGTTCCTGAGAGGTTCTCACCTTCCAAGTCCCTGAGTCATGAGTCACACTCTTAGAAAGTGTATCTAACTTTAGGATGGAGATGTGCTTACATAAAAAGAAATTATTTGGTCTTGATATAAGCCAGCCAGTAACTTGAGGAAAAAAACAAAACAAAAAACCACATACTTCCCTTTCATTATTTTCCAGGAGACTACTGAAAAGAGAAGCTGTGGATGAGCAGGGTTATGAGACATTTGGGGTTTTTTTTAATTGTTTTTAGAGGTCCATTTTTTGGTTTTTTTTAAAGGGCCTCCTTTTAAAGCCCTAGCTGGCCTTGAACTCACAAAAATCCACCTGCCTCTGCCTCCCAAGTGCTGGGACTAAAGTTCCAGGACAACCTGGGGCTACAGGGACACCCTGTCTCAAAAAAAAACAAACAAACAAAAAAAAAAAAAAAACAAAAAAAAAAAAAAAAAAAAAAACGAAAAACGAAAAATAAACCCTTTCCAGCCTGGTAGCCCAAGCCTTTAATCACAGCAGTTGGGAGGCAGATCTCTGTGAGTTCAAGACCAGGGAGCTCCAGGCCAGCCAAGATTACATTGTGAAAGCAAAAAAAAAAAAAAGCGGGGGCGGGGCATAGAAAAAGTCCTGGGCATGGTGACACATGCCCGTGATATCAACACACTAGGAAGCCTGAAGCAGGAGGATCTCAAGTTCCAGGCCAGTCTGAGCAACACAGCAGGGCCTATCTAAAATCCAAGTCTGCCTTCGTGGTCCATGCCTTTAATTCAGCACTCAGGAGGCAGTGGCAGGCGAATCTATGGGAATTTGAGGCTTGCTTGCCTTCGAGGTCAGCCGGAGTAACACATCGAAACCCTGTCTCTCCTGACCCCCCAATCGGAAGCCAGCCATCTAAAGGAGAGGGGACTGTCTGTGCAACGAACTGTAGATTTCATTCTCAGACAAGATTCAAGCATTTCAGGGACTGGCTGAAGTTAAGAGGGGTATAGCTAAACCTTTAGCAGCCTCATCAGCTGGCTGGCTATACATCTGTAGGAAGGGGTCAGTTTGGGTTCAAGGGGAAACTCCCTCTAGGGTTCTGGCTGCCAAAACTAACTCTACAGAGGAAAGCCATCTTTCGATGAGGATTTGAGAAGTGGAGCTGGGAAGTGGCAGGCGAAAGGATGTGCCATCAAGTAGGTAGAATGGGTCCTGGTGACCCAGGCGGTGCACAGCGCACCCCTTTCTTGCCAGCTGAGCCATAAAAAAGAAAAGATCCCTTTAAACCACCGGCAAGTAAACTGCCTACAATCTTTTTTCAGAATTTGGAACGTACGTGCAATTTCCTGTGTTCCTCACCAGAACTCAAGGAGTAGGCATTTAATTTCCAATTCCAGCCTAGCAGTCCTTGTCCAATACCTTCCTCGCTTCTCCGCAGACCCTAAAAATAGGCGGGAGGCGAGGGCTGGGGTTCGAGTCCGGGCGACCCCGCAGGAAACTCCGCCAAGCGTCCCGGGAAGCTGGGCCAGCGCGAGCACTCCCGTAGCTGACCGAATCCCGTTGCCTTGGTGACTCCGGGTGAGGAGGAAGGGGAAAGCAAGCCCGTACTGGTAAAGGCGGCTCCGCACCAGCCGTGAACAACTCCTGCTCGTTCACGTGACAGCTAAGCAGCACGCAAGCCCCAAAAGCCGGACCCGAGCGAACCCCGGCGAGAGCGAGAAGGGAGCGAAAAGAATAACAGGAAATCACGTCAGGCGCACGTGCTTCCGAGAGGGCTAGGTGCTGGGCCTTCGAGAGGCGCGGCCTCCACGCGCCTGCGCAGTCTGCGCTCACCGCGCTGCCGAGTTTCTGGGGTGGGCGGGGCGCGCGGTGGGTGACGCAGGCGCAGTGTGACTCCGGAGGCGCTGGCCACCCGCTCGGCTAGGTTTGGATCCGGGTCAGTGAGGCGCGGCGGTTGCGGAGGAACGCTCTAAACTGACGGGACCGGATCGCCGGGAGCGCCCCAGCTGCGAAGAGGTGAGCGGCCTGACGTGACGGGGAGGAGCCGCGGCGTCGCGTCGCGTCCGCCAGGCCCCGCTGGGCCGCGGCCGGCCTTCTGCGGCCCACTCGCCTTGTCGCCGCGGCTCCCGGAGTCGCCTGCCTGGCTCGGGCCTCGGCCTGGGGCTGGGGCCTCTCGCCGCCGCGGCCTCTCGCTTCCCGCCTTCCGGTGTTCCGGCCGTCCCCGCCCCGCACCGCTTCCCCTTTTCGTCCTCCTTGCTGCCCTTTCCCGCCTTTTCCTGCTCTCCGGGCCGCACTCATCTTCGTTGGTCGCCGCCGGCTCCTCCCGCTTTCCTTGCGCCTCTGCCCCTCTCTAGCCTCGGCTCCGGGTCCCGGAGTTGGCCGAGGGGAGCAGCTGTGAAGCCGGCCACCGGGCAAGCGGAGCCAGAGTCCTGGACAGCTCCCAGCTCGGCGTTGTCCGCACTCTCCGAGACCCCCCCCCCCGACTCTGACCTCCTCCCGGTTCGTGTAACCCCGACAGGTCCAGGTTCCGGTGGAGAGGAACGAACGTGCGGCTTTGACTGCAGTCCCGCGAATTGGGGGTTGAGTGGTGTGCCCCCACAGGCGCGGGTGTGTTTTTGTCCTGGGGACAGGTTGTTTCTACCGGGTCTGGTCTTCTGCGGGGTTGCTAGACAGGGTGTTTCTTCCCCAGGTTCCACGCTTCCCGAAGGCCTGGAGAAATTTCGAAATCTTTAATCGAAATCTTTGAGATCGCAGAGATTCCCCGATATTCTTGGGTCTCTTCAGGTTCACGGAAAGGAAGAATTAGATTTGAAACTTTTAGAGTTTGGTTAAAACTTTAAAAACGTAGTCAAGATTGTGCATATGCTATTGGTTGAACGAGAAACGAGTGTGATTTGACTTAAAGCAATGCAAAGTAACTTCTAATAGGCCTTTGGGAATTCAAGCAGTCAGTGCAGGGGAAAGAGAAAGGGAAGTACAGACTGCGTGTTGATGAAGATGGGCAAACAACAGTCACCTGTTAGCGTTGAGCTGACGCTGTGATGTGAACGGGAAGCTAGGGATACAGGGGAGCACAATAAGCCTCTAGTAATTCCAAGCATGCTCTGATCTAGCTCCTCAGGTTATGCCTGAGACACTCGCCTTTGCTCTTGGTTAAAGTAGCTGAGGAAGAAGATGAGTAATTGGAACACTGGAAATTTGACAGTAGCTTAGAAAGTTCTTCTTTCTTGAAGTTTCAGTCCGTAGCTAGATTTTTATTTTGCATTGTTTTGGTTTTTGATGATAGGTCTGTTAGTGTGTCAACAAGAATGCTAAGTTTGTATTAACATCCAAGGTGGTCATCTGCCATACTATTAAGTCAGTACTGTGTAATTAAAAGTTGCAAGTCTAGGTGTAAAGCTTCTTAGCAAAGCATTATAAGTTCCTGGAGGGCAGGAATGAAATGCCCAGTCCTTACACAAAGGAGTTTTAAGACCCCTTATATGTTTCCCAGGTCCCCTATGTTTCCAAGTTCATCCTTCTGTCCTTGGTGTCCAGCTTAGTGCTTAGTATTCTGGAAATTTTTGTGAAAGGAGTGAATTTCTGCCTGTAGAATTCAGCAGTGTGCTTAAATGCCTTGTGTACAGAAGTCAAAAGAAGGTTTCCATGTGGTGCTGAGGCTGGGGAGACTAGCCCAGATGAATAACACTGTACAGGCCCATAGGCTGCCATAAAGTAATGGAGAGAACCATAAATCAGACTTTAAAAACTTTTGCATTTATTATGTATGTGTGCAGGGACAGAGAGCAATTTGTGGAAGTTGGGTCTCCTACCACTCAAGTGCTAGGAAACAAACTTAGGTGGTCAGGCTTAGCAGCAAGCACCCTTACCTGCCCTCTTTCCAACTCCTCTAATCAAACTTTAATGGAATTCTGGTAGCAGAAAGACTTTGTTTACAACCTGTGATAGACTTTAAGATGCAGTGGAACCCCAGACATATTAAATATGTGATTTTTGCTCAGCCCTCCATCTAGATACAGAGAACATTATATATTTGGAGGAATCCTACTTTAATGAAGAATTAGAGACTGGTGAAGTGTGCAGTTGTGTGAACAGTTCCTCATGCTTAGGACCTGGTTTAAATAAACCAGCCCAGTATATGTGGAGTGAATTTGTGTCCTTTTAAAAAAATATTTATGTTCATTTATGTGTATCTCTGTGTGTGTGTGTGTCTGTCTGTCTGTCTGTCTGTGTCCTATAGAGGTCAGATGAGGGTATCAGGTCCCCTGGAGTTTTAGTTATAGGTGATTGTGAGCCCCCCAACTTGGGTACTAGAAACTGAATTTGGGCCCTCTGGAAGAGCAGCAATCACTCTTAATCACCAAGCTGTCAGCCTGCTCTCTGTCCTGTTTTGGGACGTTGAAGAGAAAGCCAGCCAAGTTCTTTTGAAGCTGCCCATATACATAAATGTCAAACATTGTGACATCTTTGGAATATTAGAGGTCTCACAATAACATTTCACACAGATAGAGAATCGGATGGGAGGGGGGTGGGGCTGGGGGTGCCAGGTTAGAAGTAGAGGTAAAGTATTTTCCTGTCTTAAAAGTTCTTTTTTGTTTGTTTGCTTATACACAGTACTAAAATTTAAAACTGAATGAAAAGATAATTTGTAGATTCAAGAATTTATTAAAAGACTTGTTTTTGCTTTAATTGATACTTTTTTCCTTCATTTGTTTAATTATAAAGGTCAGTGTAGGAAAAATTGAGAATTTCAGTTAGTCAAACTAGTTAGGAGGTGTGCACATGAAGTGCCTTAACAGAACAGTATTTTGTGTTTTTGCTTCCTACTTTCTTCTGACTAAAGAAAAATTGCTGTTATTTTGCTCTTTTTTTGAGTATTCAAAGCCATCTAACAAATACCTAATGAAGGTATCAGTTTTTATTAGTAGAGTATAAAATAGTAATTGTTGAAGTAAGTCTCCAATCCTGTCATAACAATAACATCTTGTTTTTCATGTAGATTGACAGATGGATCAAAATTGCTTTATAGAAATGCTGTAATGTGTCATGAAGTTATACTTAATTAGAATTGCTAAGGTTAGACTAGACACATGTTCAGTAGCATTTTAAAGAATCATAATGTTATAGTTTGAGCTTTTCCCTTTTTCTGTGAATAAAGGACAGTTTGTCCATAGATTGCGAGACATGTACAACTAGGAAGATTTTTCTCCCATAGTATAATGTCCTGAAATGTAGATTTTTTTTTTTTTTAAAGATTATCTTGTTTCCAAAACTGATAGATGTTGGCACCAATCAAGTATTTGGGTGATTTGAATTCTGTTATGGTTTGTGTGTAAGAAGCTTTATGTGTGTGTGTGTATAAATTTCATTTGTTTTCTTGTTAAGAAAGGAGATCTATAGTCTTATGTAACACTGAAGCTTTTGTTTTTAGAAAAAGTTGTTTTTCTCCCAACAGTAATAGTATAAGGAATAAAGATTTTTAGCAATAAACTTTTGATTCCACCAATTTTCATTTTTCTTACTCTTATTTCCCTTTTTAGTATTAACGGGAACATCCATAGGAGTGCAAAAACTTTCACAATGAAATCAGAAGCCAAGGATGGAGAGGAGGAGAGTCTACAAACTGCCTTCAAGAAATTAAGAGTGGATGCATCAGGGTAATTATATTATTTGGAATTGTCTGTTTACTAGATTTAAAATTGTCCTCCTTTAAAGTGGTCTTCTTCTACCTTTTTCATTATGTCTAGGTTATATAAATATTGTGACATCCTACCAGATTTTGTGCAATTTTTTTTTTTTTAATCTTTTTGAGATAGGGTCTCCCTGTAGCCCCAGCTGACTTGGAACTCATTATGTAGACCAGGCTGGCCTCGAATTCACAGAGATCTGCCTAACTGCCTCCCAAGTGCTGGGATCAAAGGCATGTACCACCACTCCCAGCTGTGTAATACTTTCTTAAAATGCTTTATTTGAAATGTAGCAGTTCATTTTTACTCTTACGGTGAAATGTTTAATTTTCCTTACCTTTGAGGAGGTCCCTTTTTCCCGATTGTAATCAAAGATAAATCAAGTAGTACCCAGGGGAATTTCCTCATAGAACTCAAGGGAATCATAGTATTTTTCAGTAGAAGTGAATGAGCTCAATAGAAATATATGAAGACAATCTTGATTTCACGGTCTCTGATTGCTGAGTCTGTCACTATGGAAACCTGTATTCAGTAGTGTTCTGTCACTAAGATCAATAACCTTAGCTTCTTTGACCAAACTAATTAGAGCACCTGCAGACCAGCTGCTGTCTGAATGTTAATATTTCACCCTTTGCAAATTTCTGTGCAAATCTCTTCTTACTCTAGTTCTTCTGGCCCTAAGCCAGAAGAAATCTCAAAATTTTAATAATTTTCTTTTTATGAATAGAAACCAAACCCTGAAAGCTCAGAGTAGAACACTTTACAACAAGTAAAAATAATAACCACTATTTGTTGCTCATAATGCCTTCGATACTGGTTAAGAACTTTGAACACATTATTTAATCCTCCTTAGTAGGTAGATAGTACTTTCATTTCAGTTTACAGAGGCCACACAAATTAAGTCACTTTCTACTGATAAGTTAGAGTCAGATTTTGAACCTAGAGTGCCTGACCCAAGAACCTGTTTTCTTAACCATTCGTTTATATGGCTTATTGAAGACAATATGAAAAAATGCAGCACCTAGAACAAAGTAAACGTTAAATAGATGTTAATAGCTGTTTGCCTGTTGCTAGCACTATTTTGGTCTCCAAATGAGAATATTTATGAGATTTGCACATGTTACAGTGCTCGCATTTGTTCTGTGATACGTTAGAAAAGTATTATTTCTTCCAGTGGTTTTTTGAGTATTTTTTTTTGCCATATCAGTATTTAGATAAACGTTTTTGTTTTGTTTTTAATTGATTTTTATTTTATGTGTATGAGTTTTGCCTGAATGTATATAAGTATACTTGTGTGTGTGATGACTATAGAGGTCAGAAGAGGCTTCGAATTCCTTGGAACTGGAGTTTGGGATGGTTATTAGCCACTTTGTGGGTGTTAGGAACTGAACCCAGGTCCTCTGCAAGTACAGCCAGTATACTTGACTATTGAGCAGATCATCTCTCCAACTCCTTTTTGTTTTTTGAGGCAAGGTCTTACTATGTATCCCTCCAAATTGTCATCCTCTGTCTCTAAATGCTGAACGATGCACATGTGCCACTTCACACCCCTATTTGTTGCTGTTACTGCTGTGTTTTTGGATTTTCTTGGTGGGATCTCTGTCCTGGGGATGGACTGCAGGGCCTTATGCTATGTAAGCACTGTACCACCAAGCTACATGCACAGCCCTTGATTTTATTTTAAGGAATGGTAACAGTGGAAAAGTGCCGGGCGTGGTGGTGTACACCAACATTTGGGAGGCAGAGGCAGGCAGATCTCTCTGAGTTCAAGGTCAGCCTGGTTTACCTGGTAATTCCAGGACAGCTGGGGCTACAGGGAGACCCTGTCTCAAAAAGACCAAAAAAATTCACAAAAAAAACAAAGTGGAAAGGCATAATTCTAGATTGTGATTGTAGTATATACCTTTGTGATTTTTTTGTTGTTATAGAGGACTTTATTCAATTAGCAAATTCGAGGAATATATGCACATGTGCATAGAAACTCTTTAGTATGTAAGCCTAAATGAGTAATTCTTCACATGCAGACTCCTTCCCTGATGTTTTAAGAAATTGGAATGTAAAATGAAGCCATTAATGGCACTAAAATTATTTGGACATGGGGCTGGAAAGATGGCTCAGCAGTTTGTGTGTATTACTCATCCAGAGGACTTTGGTTCAATCCCTAGCACCCATGTCAGCTCACAGCAGCCTTTAACTCCACATTGCTCACGCATGCGCGCACACATACACACACAGTTAAAAAAATAAAATGTGCTGGGTGTGGTGGTGCACGCCTTTAGTCCCAGCACTTGGGAGGCAGAGGCAGGAAGATCTCTGAGTTCCAGGACAGCTGGGGCTACAGGAAGACCTTGTCTCAAAAAGACCAAAATAAATACATAAATAAAATGTAAAAAAAATTACTTGGACATTATAAAATATTTTGTAAAGTGTCTGTGCCAGGTATAGTTGGAAATTATTTGCAGCATGTGATCTGCCTTCATTAAAATTATAAGAAGGAGCAATGCAGAACATTTGAGAAAACCAAGAGTAGAAGAGGTGAGTCAGCAGCATGACTAAGCAGAGGAAGACTTGCACAGTCTGTACCATTCACTGTTGCATACTGTTCCTGTGTACCTGCCTGGGACTTCTGAAGCATTGACTCATAAACTGAGCTTTGCCAGGAATTTAGCATGAGCCTGTTCAACAGGTTTTGATTGTAAGTGGTATTTGTCTTATTGGGACAGATGTCTTATATGTTTGTTATATAACTATAAAATAATTGTTTATTATAGAAGAATTTAGTAAAGGACAAGAAGTGAAAGTCAGTTTATTATAATCTCCAGATCATCTGTTTATAACACTGTATACTGTTTTTTTGGCGGGGGCGGGGGGTTGCTGTTTTTCTGAGGCAGGGACAGGGCTCAGGCCTGTTTCAAGCTTGTGTTCTTCCTCAGTCTTCTGAGTGCTGTGATGACAGGCATAGGGCTTGAGATTATAATGTACATACAGATGTTTACCCATATTGTTTGTCCTAATAATATAAGTATGCGCTGATGTCTTTAAAAGTTTGTTCATGTACTTTTGTGGATGAGGTTGGGACAGGGTCTTGTTAGGTAGCACAGACTGGACCAGAACTCCATGTAGTCCAAGCTGGCCTGGAACTTGTCTTGATCCTCCTGCCTATGCCTCTGGAATGAGAGAATTACAAGTGTGCACAGGATTACAAGTGTGCATTGTCATGCTGGGATTTGTAATTTGTGTGTGTGTGCATGCTCAAGTGCATGTGGAGGCCAGAGGACAACCTTGGATGTTATTCCACAGGTGGTATCCACCTGAGTTTTGTGTGTGTTTATTTGATGACAAGTCTCTCACCAGCCTGGAGCTTGCCATGTAGGCTAGGCTAGTTGGCCAGTGAGTCCTGGGGATCCTGTCTCCACCTCCCTGGGATTACAAGCACATATCCCTACACTGGATTTTTTTGCATTGATTCTGGACAATCAACCTCAGGTTGACTGATTTTTTTTTTCCCCCATCCTTATACATGTAATTTTTAGTATTTAATAATTTTAATATTTATTTTTTAATAATTTCTGAAATGCAGTGTTTTTTTCTTGTTGGATATTTAGAATCATTCTTAGTTTTTTGTTTGTTTCATCTTTTTGAGATAGGGTCTCCCTATAGCCCCAGCTGGCCTGGAACTCAATAGATAAACCAGACTGGCCTCTATCCCTCTGCCTCCTGAGTGCTGGGATTAAAGGTGTGCATCACCATACCTGGTCATTCTCAGTTAAAGCTTTATCTCAATGAGTAACCTTTTAGTTTAGTAGATTGTGTCTCTCTAAAGGATTTTTCTTAATATGATAGCATGTACACACAAGCTTATATTTTGCATTGTACACGTGTGAATTCTGGAAGGATTTATATAAAAATGTTAGTCTTGATAGTCTCTGGATTATGAGATGATAGATGATTCTCTTTTAAATTCTGAATTTATTTTTATTCTATGTGTATGAGTCTTGCCTGCATGTATCTAAGTGCACCATGTACATGTAGTGCCCAGGAGGCCAGAAGAGAGCGTTGGATCCTCTATAGCTGCAGTTACTGCTGGTGGTTGGTAGCCCCCATGTGGGTGCTGGGAACTGAACCTGGGTCCTCTGAAAGAGCACCATTGAGCCATTTCTTCAACCCCTTAAATTTTTTAGATGTTCTCTACTAGAAACCCATATTAGCTGTATACCTAAAGATTTATCTCTGAAAAAATTTTGATATTTATTATTGGCAAAAATTGGACTATTTTTCTAAAAGTTGTATAAAATTCAAATATGTGTTCATGTGGTAGTTGGATTGAACTCTTTTAAAGATTATACACCTAAACATAGTTCTCACAGCTCTGGCTTCTTGTATAAAGTAAGTGGCCAGTGTCACTAGCACTCTGGACATAAGGCTTGATCTGCCCCAGATAAACAGTCTGAAAGTCTATTTATATCCCACTGCCAGTTACACTTACAAGTCATTCTTTGGCAGCCGTGAACTTTTAAGGATCCTCTAAGTTTGGTTTTGGAGGAAAACGTACATTAAAAGCTGAGCAATTTTTTGAGAATTACAAAGTAGAGAGAAAATAGAAGCATTAATCAGAGTTGTATTTGGGTTGGGGAGAGCAGTAAGTTACCCTCATTGTACAGTTTTCTGAGGCAGTAAGCTTTGTTCTTGTCCTTAGGTCCATCCTATCTCTGTCTGTTGGAGAAGGCACAAGTGTCAGAGCACCAGTCAGAGCAACAGCAGATGATACCAAACCTAAAACCACATGTGCATCTAAAGACAGTTGGCATGGGTAAGAGTTGCTTCTTTTTAAAAATAACATTTATTTTTGTGTATATGTGTGTAGGGGGTTGCCTGCCAGGGTGTGAGTGTGGAGGTCAGAGTATTGGTTCTCCTTCCACCTTGTGGGTTCCAGGGATTGAACTCAGGTTGTGTTGGTCATCAGGCTTGGCAGTAAATGCCTTTACCTTCTAAGCCATCTCTCTGGCCTGGGTAAGAGCTTCTTACCAAGAATATTTTTATCCTGGTACCTTAAAACGTGGTTGAGTTTTCTTTCTCAAGCATCCAGAGAGAGTAGCCTATGATCCAACCCAGGACACACAACATATTTTTATTTTATTTATTTAATTTTGAGACAAGGTCTCACTATGTAGCCCTGGTTGACCAGAAACTCAGTACCTTTAGACCAGATTTGCCTTGAACTCAGAGAGATCAGCCCCAGTGCTGGGATTAAAGATGTGTACCAGCACATCTAGCATAAAATTTTTAAATGATGTATTTTTGATTAAGAGTGTGTCTAACCATTCTTGAGTTTTGTGTCCATCAAATCAGGATTTTTAAGACACAGGGCCTCACTCTGTAGCTCAGGGTGGTCTGAAATACATTGTGTAGCCCAGGCTGGCCTTGAACTCTCGTGTAGTCCTCATGCCCTCAGTCTCGGAAGGACCATGTCCAACATTCTCCTGCTTTTTTTATTTCTTTCCCCTCCTCCCTTACCTTCCCATCTTTAAAAACAAAAACAAAACTGGGCATGATGGTTCATAACTTCAGTCTCATCACACAGGAGGCAAAGGCAGGTGGATCTCTGTGAGATTGAGGCCATGTTTCATAGCAAATGCCAGGCCAGCTGGGGCTACAGGGAAACCCTGTCTCAAAAAGACCAAAAAACAATAACAAAAAGATTTGAGGGCTCTGCTTAGTGGCCCACGCCTTTAATCCCAGTTCTTAGGAGACACAAGCAGGCAGATTGCTGTGAGATAGAGGACAGCCTAGTCTACATAACAAGTTCTAGGCCATCCAGGGCTACATAGTGAGACCCTGTCTCCAAAAAAGAAGAAGACTGTAGAGATTTGGATTTTTCCCTCTACTAGTTTGGAAATTGTACATTATTTTTGTTCTTTAAATAGTTAGCCTTGAAATTTTGCCATCAAGCTTTTAAATAAAGACAAAAGTTAATATTATAACTTCCTTGGTACTCTGATTGCCTGGCTTCCTATTTACTCAGTATGTTAATCATTTCACGTTTTGTTTTGATTTTTGTTTTGAGACAGGGTCTCCCTGTAGCCCCAGCTGACCTGGAACTCCTATGTAGACGAGGCTGGCTTTGAAGTCACAGATTCATCTGCCTCTGCCTCCCAAGTGCTGGGATTAAAGTCATGTGCCACCATACCTGGCCACTTTTTTAATCTCACAAATTAGATTTAGTTACTATTAAGCAGCATTCATTTATATTTGTAATTTTACACTTTCTTCTTTTTGGGGGGGGAGTCTTTTTGAGACAGGGTCTCCCCTGTAGCCCCAGCTATCCTGGAACTCACTATGTAGACCAGGCTGGCCTTGAACTCACAGAGATCTGCCTGCCTCTGCCTCCTGAGTGCTGGGATTAAAGGTG